GCCACCCAAGGAAAATGAAAAGTCAAGATGATGCCAATTTGATGTCACATTGACCTGATTTGTGTCATATTTCGGTCAATATGACATCAAATTGACTTTTTATTTTTCCTTGGGCACGCGGCAATAATAAAATCCTACCTCGTTTTCGACAAACGTAACGATGTGTTCGTCGCATCCGAACCATCGCTACCGAAAGATGAAATTCGCGAGGAGAGGCGGCGCACGCGTGGCTGCGAGGCCGAGTAAATTTCGGAAGAGACACGCGAACAATTATCGACTCCTCCATTCTCTCCGAAAGAGAACGTCGACGCCCACGAGATCGCGTCTCGCCGCGTCTTCCTCGCGACCGTATATCGAATTATGGCGTATGAGGCTTACGTGCCCAGACCTTACCTCGGGGACCTTTCTGCGACGACGAGGGCGAGGAGCCTCGTCGGGAAGAGACGTAGGAGCAGACCGGACCGTCGCCGTCGAACGCCAACGGAATCGCCCTCTGAGTCGGAGCTTCTCGAACTGGACTTACCGGTCGTCAGTGGATCCGCGAGGCGAACGAAAATGCGAGCGAACGAAACAGGAAATGTGAAACGACGAAAACGGGAAAACCGGAAGAGGGGGCGAAAACGAAACTCGAACCAAGAAATATAACTGATCGCTCGCCGTGGCTGAGAGAGGGAGGGGGAGGGTGATCGAAAGGAGCACCGCGACTTCCGGTCGACACGGCGCCGGCCGCGGGACCAGCGGGAAAATTCAACGGCGGGATTGACACGCGCGGCGGGCGGGGGGGGGAGGGGGGAGAGGGAGGCCGACCGGACGTGCGTCGATCGTCGCCGGCGACGTGGGGAACGTTCGTTAATAACGGCCGCGCGACGCTGCTTTGACTAGCGACGCGCCGGAACGAGCTGACTAGCGCGAAGTCGCCGCTCGTGTGTTTCTGGCGAACGGAAACGAATGCCGCGCGAAGGCCGTTTAGGTTAGGTTTCTGGCGAACGAATGCCGCGCGAGAAGTTACGTTAGGTCAGGTTAGAAGTCGAACCGCCCGATTCCTTGCGCTCGTAGGATTTGCTCGCCCCGAAACTCCGAAAAGTTCTTCTTCTTGAAACTGTACACGTTGGGCGTTGGAGGGGAAGGAGAGAGAAGGAGAGAGAGAGAGAGAGAGAGAGAGAGAGAGAGAGAGAGGGGGGGGGGGGTGGACAAGAATTCTAAGAAAGTGCGACACAGAAAGTCAATTCTGTATCTTGCAATATAGCGAGACTGCTAAGAGAGCGCTATCTTTTTTTCTAAGGAGACAATTAGAGACAGAGTTACCTAAGCTCACTTTTAGCATTTTCACTAGTGTAAGATACAGAATTGAACCCTGTTGAACCCGCTGATCTCGCGAATGAATGACTGCTCGCAAATCGATGAAAACATGGACCAATTCGTCCACAGCGTTTTATATTAATACAAATAAAATACCGTTATTATAATTATATACAAATAATACCACTGTCGCATTGCTCGATACGTGAAGGGAGAAGTCCAGTGGAGAGCAACGAATCTTACAGCGAAAAGTTAGCCGCCGTTCTGCGATCGCCGATCACGTTGAGCATTTCATGCGAATATACCCCCCACCCTTTTTTTTAGGTTCGAAGTCGCGACATCTTTGAACGAAGCCACGAGGCTCGAGGCGACCAACACCTCGTCGACATCCAATAACTTCAAGATACTTTTCTTTTTATCATTCATGAAGATTGAATGTCAAGACATTTTATAAGAACTTGTAAAAGCTTAAATGTAGTGGTTTTAGACATCACATTTTTTCCTCTTTAGTTAAAAAATTCATTAAGTTAATAGCCTCTATAATTCTCTTATAATTTTCAATAGCTTGATTTTTCCCCTTAGTAAACGTAAAATGCTCGCTACTCTCTTTTTAAACCTAAGAAATGTTGGGACATTTCAATCGTTTCAGATTTACCTCTGGTGTATCAAAATTGTATTGTTCCTCAGTCGAGTCAGGATATTGTCCGAGTGTCTAACGCATGTGTATATCCGATCAGCGCAATAATTAAATACATATTTTACACATTATTCTTAGTAAACTGTTATAAATGTCCTTATCGCAAAATGCACTAAGAGATCGCACGAGATATTTACAAAAGGCAATATACAGGAATTACACCGTTGGCTTTTAAGGCCTTAGATATCATTCGCGTTCAAGTCGAAACACGTCGCACTCGCTGGCACGTAGACGCATGGTTTTGCCTCTTCGTTCGAATAGCCTGGGATTCCTCCCTGCGATATATCAAAGCTCTGAAAATTTGCAACGAAAAGATTTAAGAGTGTATTGCATCGCTAGTCGCACGGCTTTACGTTTTACGACAGTGAGGTAACGCGAGCCAACAGAGTAAGTAGCCTTTACGGAGGCTGTAATGATAAGAATAGACACGAAAAGACAACATAAATAATCGTTTATAATCTTGATGAAAAGAAAACCATAACTAAATACGTCACACGTGTCTTTCTACAAGTTACGAGTAGAAAAGTCGCTGTGAAAAGTTCGCCCGAAAGGCGAACGAGAGCCGCTGACGACTTACGTATCTTTTGTGCATCGCCAAGCAAAAGGTGCAGACTCGCGGCCTCGGGCAAGCGCCGCCACTCTCCGAGAGGCGCGTGCACGGCTGATCTATGGCACCCGCGACGAGCATGGCGTCCAAGTGGCTAATGTAACTGCTGGCCAACCTCAGGGTCTCTATTTTCGACAGCTTCCGGTCGGCCGGCTCGGTCGGGATCAGGGTTCTCAGGGCGCTGAAAGCCGTGTTCACGCTGCACAACGAAGATCGCGTGTCTTCAGACTTGCGCACCTGCACCCCCCTAAGTCGCTCTATCAATATCGGAGCCTAGATCTATCTCGTTCGTTAAACAATCGTTAAACGTTTAAACGGAGGGCAAGTTCCGCGAGCGAGCGAAATCCTCCGTGATCCTTCAGCGTTCTCGCGCGCAACAAGGGAGACACATCCGTCCGTCGGACCACTCGCTTTCGATTCTACGCGCATATCGCTCGCGCGTTTTCGGAGGCAGAGGAGACGCGGGTAGCAAAAAATGCTTCTTCACCTATGAGTGCGATCTCTCTCCCGAGCGTTCGCCTGGTACCGCTGCTTCGTCGGCTCGTCTCTCCCGCGTGCCGCCATGCCGTGGACCCCACTACGGGATTGCGCTTACGCAGGCCGTTCACGACGACGCCGTCTTCATCAATGAGCGGCCGGCAGCGCGCGAGCAGCCTCCTTCCGTTACTCCGGAATATGAAATTTCCTCATCTCTGGTGCGTCACGCGCGCTTAACATCCCTCCAATCGCCGCACTCCCTTTCTCTTCCCCTTTGCTCCTCCTTTCGCGCAGCTTCCCAACTAGCACGTGAGCCGCACGTGTGTGCGATCAGGGACGGATACAGATCTCTCTCTATCTCTCCCTCTCTCTCGCTCTCTCATTCCCTTTTTTCCTTCTAGTCCTCCTCTTTTCCAATATCTATCACATTGCGTTAAACTACGACGGAAAAAAAAAATTAAGGACTGCAGAATAAATAAATCACATTCGTAAAAACATAACGAAGAGGGTGATGGTTTGCGCTCGAGAACGTCAAAGTATGAAACGTCGAGGCCGCAACTGAAACTTCACCTGATTGCCCCTCGCGATATTGAAATCAAATTTACCGTTTACGGCCAAAGTACACGCACTGCGTTAGGAGCGCTAGAACACGCATTCTCAACTTCGTCCCTGTCTCCCACTCATATCCCGAGCGTTTCCTTGTAAAGTGGTCGGCGGCTGCGTTTCGCATTCAGCTCGGTAAAAACGGTATAGATGATCGTAGGGACTGGGCAATAGACGCCATCGAGGGGGAGAAATTCCATCTGGAAAACTAATTAGCGTTGGCGTTACAACTCCTGCTCACATCCGTTCCCAGTTTCCCTGATTTCTCCCCTTTTTTTTTTCGAGACGATTACGCGACTGAAACACTTAAACGCTAAAATTGCTATATCCCGCCTTGTTCGTTCAAGTTTCAGCGCCGGGCGGACGCGCACGACTACCTAAAGCGCGAAAAAGAGAATTGGGGGGGAAAACGTGCAGAGGCCATCCTCGTGCTTCGTATGAAATGTTTACTCAATTAAATAACTTGGTTACATCGAATCAGTTACACAGCATAAAATTTACATGTTTCTCAGATGGTCGTCGTAAGGATTATAGTTGAACGTTCGATATTGTCGAAGAAACACTGCGCAGGAGTCAGCTAATATAAGACAAGAATTAAGTTTTCAATAGATTTAAACGTTGTCGTTGACGAACCGCGCCGCTGTGTTACCGAAGATCCACGGTATGCAAAAGGAATAAACCTTAAGAAATACACATAGAAAATATCCACGAGTGTCTGCATATATTAATGAAATAATAATGAAACCTTTTAGATTATTATACACATTTCGCGCGACTACGCGGACGATCGAGCAGATCGATGTGGAAAGTTCGTCGAATTGTAAAACGTTCGGAATAGGACTTTTCTGTCGCCGTGGCGGGTTTACGTGAGATAAACGCAGACATTGTCATCTCCCATCGTTACTTATACGCACTACGATGCGGCATAAATATAAAATCAATCGAAACACAAGGTAAACGTTTTGACACGAAAGACACGGACAAACAAAACGTTCCACTCGCTCCAAGACCGTTTGGCTTGTCGCCCTCAGCCTATCTTTTTTTCTTCCTCGGGTTTACGCCATCGCACTTATTATTCACTTACGGGTGAACAAATCTTATAAAATATATATATATAATCATATATTTAATATACATAATTATTATGAATATATAATTACATATATTTATATACAATCTTTTATATATATATTCTACGTATTTAAAATGTATATATATATACACGGGTATGGAAGAATAAAAAACGCGGTGTAATTTCACTCCGCACAAGCACTTTGGCATGTATATTAAAATTTAAAATCAGATTTAAAAAAAAAAAGGTAAAGATAAAGCCAAGGCCAGTCGCGAGGTCGGCCGCGATCGACGAGCGGTGACGTTGATAGCGTGGAGGAGCAATTAAAACGAGGTAATACCTAAAGAACTTGAGAGTAGCTTATGTATCAAGCATTTGTCGCAATTATGTATATATATAAATCTCGATCTCTCTAAGAAACGTGCCAGCACCGATGATATAGCGCCGGGGCTAAAATATCTTGTACTATTTACAACAGCGCGAGAAAATTACAATTATCATACTCGCCGCGCATATGTGTGTGTGTGTGTGTGTGTGTGTGTGTGTGTGTGTGTTTGCGTGCGTGTGTGTGTGTGTGTGTGTTTTATAATTCCTTTGCTTACATCGATCTGAAAGACCATAAAAATAATTTCTGATCTTAGATGGTAGATTACAGCGAAATCCCGAGTGGCTCTCTTCGGAAGATCGTCGGATGCCTCGAAAGAACGATAAACGTATGTATATATAATACACGCGTATATACATGGAATATACGCGGATATATGTATACAATATATCGCGCCTAAGTGATGAAGGCTATATGTATATATTATATACATATATAAATAAAAATATATATGTTTATTGACGCGATCCACGTGCGGCTTCTTCCAGTGCGCGAACTTTAAGCTCGCGCTCACGCTGTTGTCTAAAAAATACCCTTTGTTAGTCCGGAGTACACCGGCAACAATTCAGGCAAGCTTGTGATAGTGATATCAAGGGACGAACCTTAGGTACTCCTCGTGATGTGCCACGAGGGAGTGCGGAGGGAATCGGTCGCGCTCCATCAAGAGGTGCCGTTGCAGTTGTTCGTGGTGCGCTGCCATGTCCGCGTAGGGTCTTCCTAGGAGTTCCGCCGGATGAAGCGCCAGGGCGGGATCGCGCGGCATTAGACCGGGACGAGGGTAATTGGCGCCGGCCGCAGCTGTGGACGAACATTAGCAGGTGCGTCGTAAGAAAAATGGAAGAGCGGATTCAAGAGAACGATATTACATTAATTTGTTATTTAATCGTTGCCTGGCGCGCACGATATATTTATCTCCACGAGGGAGCTGTTTAGCGTATACTCGTAACACGTAAAGATAGAGAGAACCGCGCGCGGCATTACAATGAGCCCTTAAGCTAAGTCCCTGAAGTGGTTCCTTCTCATCTCTCCAGGCACACGCACACGCACACTCGCGCCTATTCCTCGACAACACTCACTCGCACTTGCACCTGCGACGGTGATAAGCGACTAGCCAGAGATCAGAATCGAGCAACTGGAAAATCGCAGGCGTGCTGACGATAAACGGTGTGGCGGGAGAGAAGGATCGTCCTGACCTAGACCCAGGCAAGGTATGTAGGTGACGTAGGACGATCAATGAGAAAAAACACACGGCTGCCGAGCGACGAGGAATAAGCAAGAGCGGCGAGTTTTCGTAAAAGGAGGAAGCTCTTCAGGAAGCTTTAGAAGAAACATCCTGGTTGTGTAGGACCTACCCGGCAGAGGAAATCCAGCCGCAGCCGCAGCGGCTTCCTGCTGTTGCTGAGCCTGTTGCTGGGCCTGTTGCTGTCCCGGATGTAAGTGCAAGTGCGTATGCGCATGCGTATGCGCGTGAGTGTGAGCATGATATTCGGGCGAGATGCCAGCCATTTGCAATCGGACCATCGGGTCAGCGGCCAGAGCCAGCCGTTCTTCCAGCTGGCCGTGGTGATGAGCCGCCACGGGATGGCCAGCCGCTCCACCCGCTGGCCCCCCGCCGGCTGCAGTCGGAATCCCTAAACGCGACAGCGCTTCGATCACATAACTCGAAGAGATCAGATACGATTCTCATGCCCGATTTCTTCATCTCCAGCTAACCGTCGGATATCAAGTTATCTCACAATCAGAGAGAGGGAGGAGCAAATCAGTCTACCGCTACAGTTATCACACAGAGAGCCAAGGTTAGCCGTCGTCACGTGGACAGAGTTAACTGGCGCTGAAGAAATCGGCCATTCGCTTTAAACAATTAATCTACCTACGTCGCATCCCTCGCAAAGGTCTTGGCGCTCTCGATCTAATTCTTTCACCCCGACCTACCCCGATTTTTCTCTCACGTCAGCCTCACGGCCGATAAGAGTATCTTTAAGTATTCGACTTTTCAATTCGATTTTTGACAAGTACAAGTCGTACGCTCCAACGCGAATATGACAGTCGGGCGAGGTCTCTATCTCTACCGCCGAGATAAACAAAAAGTGTTAGCTGTGTCAACAATTACCTAGTCGCTCGAGTCGTTCCCTCTCGAGTTGACTCGGACCCGGTGGTGCCCCGTAGAGGCCGAATTGGTGTAAGGCTTGAGGGGGGCCCGAAGGACCCGGCGCCAGACCAGCGGCTGCGTACCGGCGATGTATCTCCAGCCAGTGCGGGTCGACCGGCGTGGCCATTGGCCTGGGTGTGCCCTTGAACAGTTCCTCCTTCAAACGATCGTTCAATTCTCTCTCGCGTAGCTCGCGTATCTCCCGCTCCCTCTTCTCGCGCTCCAAGTGCTCCAGCTCCAGCCGTTGCGCCGCCGCGGCCTCGCGCCCGTAAATGTAGTGCAGCATCGGATCGGGCGGGCCCGGGTGTCTCGCGGGTGAGAAAGCGGCGTGCGGCCTAGCGTACTCCGATAGCTGCCTGAGCGCCGGGGTGTCCGCGTAGGAGCCCGGGCGCGCGTAACGGTCGTAAGGCGAGACGACCGGCTCGAGGGGACCGCGGCTGGGCGGTTTGCACGCCTCGGGCTGCTTCTCGGGCGTCGTCATCTTCCGGGCCTGCTGCGCCGCGGCGGCGGCGCGATCGCGCTCCTCCCGCTCCCGCTCCGCCTGCTTCCGCGAGCGTTCGTCGCGTTTCCGCGCGAGTTTCGAGTCCGGCACGGGCTTGAACATGAGGTCGGTGCGCGTGCACGAGTTGTTCTCGCCGCGATTCCAATGCCTCAGGAAGATCGCCGACTGCGACCGGTGGCACTCGGAGTCCTCGATACGCGGCTCCGGCGAGGGCCCGCGGGGACTGACGGACTCCTCGTGTTCCACGTCCATGTCCTGCTCGATCTTGGGCTCGGGCACGACCTGCGGCTGCTGCGATTGCGGCTGACGATGATGATGGTGCCCGGAGCTCGACGACGTCAGGCACGTGGCCGAGACCAGCTGAGACGCCTTGCGCTGGCTACTGTGCGAACTGTGCGACGAGGAATGGCTGTGGGAGCTGTGAGAGGAGATGCTCAGCAGCTTGTCGTGGTGCAAATTGGTCGGCTGCTGATGCATGCTGGACGAGTGGTGGTGACTCGCGATTAGGTTCTCGCCCTCCTCTCTGCTCGCGACGCTCGAGCTGGTGCTGGCGTGATGCGCCGTCATCATGGCGTTGCTGCTCTCCTGGCTGCGCTGCGGCGAGGGCGGTGGAATGGCGTGAGGCACTGGGCCGTAGGCATACGGCGGGAAGGACGGGTAGCCTCCCACCGGCGCGTATCCCGGATAGGCGTGAGGATGATACGGGTGCATGGCGGTGAACAGCGAGTGGTGCATCAGCGGATGATGCGGATGGAAGGGATGCGCCATGTGTGGGCTAGGTTGCTGCGCGGGATGCATCACCGGTTGTGGGATCGAGCTGGGCGGCGGTGGTAGACTCGGCGTCGGTGTCGGCGTGGGTGTCGGCGACGCCGCGACCGGCTGTATCGACGGCACCGCCTGGCTAACGGGCGGCACGGAGTGCTTGCTCGGCGTCGGCGGTTTGCTCGTACCGTCCGGATCCTTCTTGATGTTGTCCAGGCTCGGACCGGGGAAGGAGGAACTTTGGAAGCCCGGCACCTTGACCTCCTTTAGACTCTGCAGAGGGTCCGGCTCCGGCGGTATGATCTCCTGCTTGATCTTCAAGTTCTGCGGTTCCATCGGCGGCGTCCCGGCCAGATTGTAGATACCCACAGGTTTCTCCATCGGCAGCATTCCGCCGGACTGTATCGGTTGGAACAGATTACTTGGCTCCGATCGTTCCGGCTCGTTGTTCTCGCTCGTCCGTTCGGGGATACGATCCGGTACCAGGCGGGAGTCGGGAACTCTGCTGTCTCGAGCCCGCTCGCTCGCCGACAGTCTGTCGTCCGCCAGTCTCTCGGCGTTTCTGTTGTCGGACGACATGACGGTCAGGCCGAGAGGCTGCGACGGCGGGCTCGGTATCGACGGCATGTGCCCCAGCGGGCCGCCGATGCCGGCCGACACTACGCTCTGCGAGATGTTTAGGTTCAATGGCGGTGGTCCCGTCATGCTCTGCGGCATCGTTTGCGCGGAACTCTGCAAACTCTCGGTCACGTGACTACGAAGATTCGTTGGTCCCATATTCTGCGCGCTGGGCGGAACGCTATTCGGCGCCATCTGCGGCGGTATGCTCTGCGACAAATTCTGCGGCACGTTCTGCACCGGCAACGGCGGCGGCGGCGGTTGTACGTACTGCATACTCAGACTCGTCGGCAGCCCACCGACGCCAGCACTCTGTTGCTGACTGGGCGATATCACCGGGATCTGCGAGCTTGGCATAGTCGCCTGCGAGCCCACGCTCGTTATGATACCGGGTATAGTTTGCGACAGATTGCGAGCCGTAGCCGGACCGGCGTCGTTGGGACCCGGTCCGACCTGCTGCGCGGACGTGCTCAGGTTCAGTTGCGTCGGCTCGGGTTCCTTGCCCATGTCCTCGCTGGACATCGTCGGCGACATCGCCGATTCAATTGGCATCGAGTCCAACTTCAACGGTTGAGTCATGGCTAACGGCAAGTCCTCCGCCTGGTCCATCATCTTGCTCTGATCGACCGGCTCCTGATCTAGCAAGACGGCCGGCTTCTTCTCCAGACTGTGTATCACCGGCACCGATATCGGCAGGCTCTGTATCACAGCTGGCACCGGAGTGGACGCCGGCGTCGGCTCGGACGGCTCCTCGGGCGTCGTAACGGCCGGACTACTCACGGGCTCCTCCGCCCCGGCTACACCGGCGACCGTTGGCGGCGTCGGTTGATTCTCGTTTGCGTCGCCCTCCGTTTCCCTCTCCGGCTCGTCCATCAGGGAGTTGCTGTCGGTAGTGAGAGATTCGGACGGACTGTCGGGCCGTTCGCCACCGCCGCGCTTCCGCTTCTGCGCGTCCTTGTCCTCGTCGTTGCAGGCGTCGTCCACCTGACTCGAACGCTTCTGGCCCTTCTTGGGCGTGTCCGCTTTGCCGGACGACTTCTTCTTACTCTTGTCGGGCGTCTGCTGCTGCTGCTGTTGCTGCTGCTTCTCCTGATCGGGCGTGTCCGTGCCACCGGTTCGTCGCGGTCTCGCTGGTCTCGGTGTCTCCTTGGCCTTGTTCCGCGTGCGCATCCTACCGGGACTCTCAGGCGATTCCGCCGGCACCGGGCGGAACAGATAAGGCGGCGCGGGTGGCAGTTCCCCGCTCTTCTTCAGGTGCGACCGACATTCCGCACAGAGTAACAACCGATCCTTGCCGGCCACCTGATAGTCCTTCGAGCTGGTGGAGAAACAGTGCTGGCACGAGTGCGCCGTGCCGTTCGTATTGGTGTCGCGCGAGTCGCTGTCCTCCTCCGAATTGTCGTCCTCGGTCACGGAACTGATCTCGCCGCCGGGATTGTGGCTGGCCGGAGTGCCGACCGGCACGGTCTCAGCCTCGGACGCGGCCTCCTTCGCGTTAATGTTGGCCGTCGGCTGTGCGTCCTTGGTTGGCGTGGGTACCTCCTCCTTCGGTGTGCCGGCGCGTGAGTTGCGCGTATTGCGAATTCGCCGCAGCGAGCTCTGCCTGCGTCGTCGGTGTGGCCGATTGTTATTTGCGCCCGGGGTCTTCTTCCATAAATAATAGAATTCGACGAGCTCCGGCTGTGCAGAGACAAAGAATAGATATATCGTAAACAAAGCAATTGGGTTCCAAATATTTATTGTGTACATAATTCACCGGAAATAAAAGAAAAGACTAGTCCCCAAAATCCTTGTACAGAAAGTCATTTTTCTTAAGAAAAGAATTTCACTGTTCCGTGTATGCTTTTCTTCATATTACAAAAATTTGTTTAACATTTTAGCCTACAACCACGAGTGAGACTCGTGCTAAGGAATTTGGGCCATAAACAATAAGCACGAGCCTGCCTCGTGGTACTTCGTTCGCGCGATCGACCTTCCTGTTTACTATGGCCCGAGCAATCGGGAGATAGCGTGTAGGCCAAGGGGTTAATCCTTGCTTACCAATTTTATTTCAAGTAGGATTTTATAAAATAAGAAACTTTTTGCAGTAACTTAACAATTGTCACGTTAAATTTTTGTTTAAAATTTAAATTTCTTAAATTGTAAATCACCAATGTCAAACGAAAGAAAACGTTAAAGCGCGTGTCGGAGCAACGCTATTGGGTTCGAAAGATTTATTGCGTTCATATTGATCGGAAATAAAAGAAAAGACTACTCCCCAAAATCCTTGTACAGAAAGTCATTTTTCTTAAGAAAAGAATTTTATTCCTGTATGCTTTTATGGCTGTTGGCCGTTATGCCTGTTCCGTGTATGCTTTTCTTCATATTAAAAAAAAATTTGTTTCATCCTTGCTTACACATTTTACTTCAAGTAGGATTTTATAGAATAATAAACTTTTTGCAGTAACTTAACAATTGTCACGTTAACGAGGGTGGTTGCTGAAATAAAAATAAATTCAAATTTATAGAAAATATTCGTCTATGGGTATCTGTCCTCCATGCGAAAGTACGAGACGATTTCTTAAATTGATTGTCTGCATGGTTGTCGAATAATTAATTATTAAAGTTATACTATTGCACATGGCCAACATAGCAAAAGTATTACGATATCTGTAATTTAATTCTCGAAAGCATGTTAAAAATGATAAGAATTTTATAAAAATGAGTGCATATAATTCTATTATATATTTACGAAGAATTTTGACGAATACTGAAATAACTACATAGTATTCGTCAAAATTCTTCGTAAATATATAATAGAATTATTTGCACTTATTTTTATAAAATTCTTATCATTTTAAACATATATGTATATTATATATATAATTATTATATTTTTTATTTATTATTAGAATATTTATATTTTTATGTATATATATTATTATTTTAATATATATATTTTTCCTATAAATTTGAATTCATTTTTATCATTTTTATTTTAGCAACCACCCTCCTTAAATATTTGTTAAAAATTTAAATTTCTTAAATTGTAAATCACCAATGTCAAACGGAAGAAAACATGAAAGTGCATGTCGGAGCTATTGAGTTAGAAAGATTTATGGTATACATACTTGACCGGAAATAAAAAAAAAGACTAGTCCCCAAAATCCTTGTACAGAAAAGGTCATTTTTCTTAAGAAAAGAATCGTACTTTGAGTGAGTGCTTTCCTTCATATTGAAAAAAATTTTCTAATTTCTGTTTACCAATTTTATTTCAAGTAGGATTTTATAGAATAATGAACTTTTTGCAGTAACTTAACAATTGTCACGTTAAATTTTTGTTACAAATTTTTTAAATTGTAAATCACCAATGTCAAACGGAAGAAAAAATTAAAGAGCGTAACAGAGCAACGCTATTGAGTTCGAAAGATTTATTGTGTACATACTTGACTGAAGTAAAACGGAAATAAAATAAAATAACACAGAAATCACTTGTACAAAGTAAATTTTCTTTGAGAAAAGAATTGCACTGACGCGTGTGTGCTGTTCTTCATATTAAAACAAACTTTTTAATTCTTACTTACCAAAGTGATGTTACTAAAATTTTTTAATTTTTGCTTATCAAAGAAAGGTTACTAAAATTTAGTAACATCTTGTTTGGTCATTCTCGGTTTCAGTTTCTACCAAAATTTAACATGACAATTGTTAAGTTATTGTGAGGACTAGCGACACAAATTCAAATTCCACACAACGAGACTCGCAAAACTCATCCAACAAAATTACCGTCCTACAAAATTTATAAACGTCACAACAAATCTCAACTTGCATTCGAACTTTATGACTTTAACGATTTATAATTACTGTCGTTCATTATTCGCACAAGATGACTTTATTACAAATCGAAACGTATTTTAATTTTATTTAGATTATAATGTATTGTAATCACTATCAGCAGCTCGATTCATTAACTCACTCGCTGTATTTCATCCGATTTTAAATTATTTTTACTTCACGGAACATTTATTTACACTTTTCGCAATTGTTTTTCCACAATTTTCTTTTTTTTAAGTCTCATTACAACAAACACTTATTTAATCGCAGTAAAAGTGTAAGAATGAAGAAAAAAAAACAAACACGGGTGAAGAGAACGAACTTACAGCAAACCGAACCGGCAGGTAAGACGTACAAACCGACAATGAAGAATGAAATCTTTACCGTATCTTTGTGCGGCAGGAGGTCCTTCCTAATGCGCGCAAAGTTCTTTCCGAACTGCCGAAGGCCCTTGACGAATCGCTTCTGCAGGCAACAACGAAAAGGACAAAAATCCCCCCGTTAGAAAACTCTCTCTTGCGGTCAAAATGTTGTCAATAAAAGAACCAAGTGGCACGTACAGTTTCGTCCTCGGACCACTTCTTGTCGACGCTTTTCGGTATGGGACATTTGACGAGTGCCTGGAGCGCCCTACCGGGATCATAGCCAGAACTGTGCAGGGTGTCCAACGCATTGATGGTAGTGTCGTCTCGGGAGGCAGCCTGGCAACCGTCCTCTGGAGAACCGCCGTCACACATGCCGGCGAACGCGGCCATTGAACGGGCTGCCCTCAAGTACATGACAAGGTCCCCGTCCAATGCCATTGCTGGTACCCATTTTAGTTCCTCGCGCTCCTTGGCGAACTCTGGGTCGGGTGGCAGCTCTCCCGGGGGTATACCCGACCGATACTCAGGCAAACGGGCCTGACAAGAAACCAACTCCTGTAAATCCCAAAATTCGGGATTGCGCGGGGTTAGGACTGATGATAGCTAAGCGAGTTAGTTAATGTGTTGACACTGGCTTGCCTTCTCGACGCGGGCTAACTTTCGCGATTTTCAATTCACCCTTCGAGTCTCTTTCCTATTCTTTTCGTAAGAAGGCGCCCTCCTCTCTCGCATCCCCCTCCCCCTCTGCACGCGGACGAGAGAAATTGTCTACTTCGCAACACCGCCTTTTCTTTTGTTTACATGGATACACGTTCGCGAGCGAGCGCGCGCCTTCATTAACGCGAATAATCGTCCAGTCCGTTTATGATAATGACGCGTTAAAAATAGAATCGTATCTACAAGTATGTAAGCGTTGCGTAATGCCACTTATCGTTTTACAAAGTCACGATCCACGACGTGTGTTTGTCCACGGGTGTTTGCAAAATCAAGTACGAAAAGAGGAGGAAAAGGCGGGCGTACAAGCTGCCGGCTAGTCACAGAGCGTCTTTACACGGGTTCAATAACATCCGTAGTTAAGGAACTGGCCAATCACAGTCGGTCCATTCTTCTGAGGAATAGTTGTGATTGGCCAGTTTTACAACTAGCCAGTTTCACAACTACGGATGCTATCAAACCCGATTAAGGATGACGTGTAAACGTAGTCCATGACACAAACGCGGGTTAAAAACGAGTGAAAACAAAATGCCGACGACTCTTGTCGATTCGTCTCGCTTCGAAAATATCTCTCGTACATATATTTCACGCGTATGGAAGCGTATGGAAGCGTCCGAGGTGAAAGGGTGACTCGGTCAGGTCTCGGGGACGGTCTGTACAAGCGCACGTGCTCACAGATGGTTCAAGTAAGCAATCGCGAATAATTGTTGTATGCCGACAGGTATATAAACGGTGCCGTCTCAAATTAATCATTTTCACCGTGACTGAACACCACACCGAATTAAAGAGAGCGTCATCTCACGCCAAACGAGCAGTGCAGCTGAGCCACCTTTAATGCATCGGCTCCCAAGTGTTATTCTATTTCGCGCGCCGCCGCACTTGCAAAGTAAGACCTTCCGCCGACTTCCCGGTGTCGTACACGCCGTGTGTGATACAACAAGTATCGCAGGCAGAGCTTTAACGAATGCGTTTCACGTGTCGCGGACGAGACCGGTCTACCACCTGAAACATTCGAGGCTCTTTAATGCGTGATGCGTTAGTTGAACCATCGGATGGGAACCGGAATGCGTGAGAGTCCAATCTTGTCTTCACGGTGATAGTCTCGAAAGTTCTTTTACACTAAAACTGCCTGGTTAAAGCGACGTGTCTCTCACGATATCGTGTCCCCCCCCCTTCCCCTTTCGCGATTAGCATAAAGTGTCCCCTTGGATTAACATTAAATACACACACGTGACATTTACTGTCTGCTACGCGAGAAATTTTTGGAGTTAGCAGAGTCTCTGCACGGAGTACCGTGTATGCCGATCCCGGGTTACCTTATCGGTCTCATTGCTGAGAAACTTTAAGACTAATCCGCGTACTTCATACATTTTCAGATTAGATTACATATATATTTACGTAATGTTCCTCTCTCTCCGTGGAGCATCTTTGCGATCTGCGCTACTCTCTCAAGCTAATCCGTACGCGCGTGCGTATCTATTTCAAACATTTGTGTGTGTGTGTGTGTGTGTGTGTGTGTGTGTGTGTGTGTGTGTGTGTGTGCACGCGCGTGTACAAACGCGCGACATACACACGCAAACGCGTGCAGCTCTCTTTACGTTCGTTTACGTTTATCTGATTTATATGACGTAAGGGGCGTGTGAAGTTCCCCGCAATCTTACCCTCGTGTTTCTTTGCTAGAGAGGCGATCTTCATTTTCAAATCGGCTGATGTCAACCAACCGATTTGAAAATGAAGCATTTGGGTGATGGAAAATGCAATGCGTCTTCGTAATGTAGATACGACGTGACTGTCCCCCTCTCCCAATTTGTACGTTTGTACTTTGATGACAATTTCCGACTCCACGACTCGTCTAATCGGCCAGCATGGGATACGGGGATCGACGTTGCTTAACTACGACTATTGTAATCGCTCTCTGAAATGAGAAACTTTATCACCACGAGGTAAAAATTCAAGGTCACTCAAGGGCAACACGGGGACTCTTTTATCGCACGTGGAACCACGATTGCACGTACGATGGTCATTACGTGATGCCAATATAACGCCGGGAGGACGACAAGTGGAGAATTTTGATCCACACGCCCCTTACCCTTGCGACAAACGTCTATGCTAGTAGAGCGCAAAGCCCCGAGATAGGCACGTTGTGCAAGACAGTTAATTAGCAAGAAAGTTTTTCAAGATATGTATGGCAAACCTGATGCGTAGGGCCAACCCGAATCTCGCCCTGGGTGCCAGCAGACATCTCCCCCTCCTCCGAAGCTGCTCCGTCTTTCTCCAGCGTTTTGAGCGGCTTTGATCTTGGACTTTCAGTAAATTCCTATCATCCACCCCCTGAACCGTATAGTTATGCCATCAATATGATTGAATGACGATTTGGCAACAACATATAACTGCTAACATGCTCGCCTCGACTTTGTATTAAAAAAAAAAAGAAGAAACAATATATAAGGAAACTACATGTATGCATCGCCCCCTCTGCTTACGGAGACACAACCGCAAGCGCTAAAACCCGGTGACAATTTTCCACGGCGTTAACGCGAACCTGGGGGGATTTTCTTTTTGCTTTGCTTTTTCGCCGTACTCGCCGGTGTTGAACCATGAAAACAGATCCATCGCGCGCCGTTGACTCTCGAGAAATTGTGATGCAAGTTACAAACGGCTCGTTAGAACGTTAAGTTTCAGACGCGCTTCAAACGAAAAAAAAAAAACGACGGAAAAGTTTCCCCGATGCAAAAGCGAATATCAAGGTAATCTCTACTTCCCCCTCCCTCCCCCCGCGGCACCCTGAAAACTCAATCTTCTCAAGCTCTACGAACTGAAATAAACACAAGAGGTAAATCGCGATATTTCTATATACCAGCGATATAAAGTAACTGACAAAATTAGGGCATCCAGCTCGTGTAATCCGTCAATATATGATTCAAAGTATAATATTTATGCCTACGTCTCGTTTCTCTCGCTCTCACTCTTTCTCTCTCTCTCTCTCTCTCAAACTCATTTTCTCTCTCTTTCTCTCTCACACGCACGCGCGCACATACATGCTCCTTCTCTCTCTCTCTCTCTCTTTCTTTAGTGGTCTTGAGTCACGGTGAAAGCGGCAAACAGGCTAATTAACAAGCGCGCAAGCTCGAGCGAACGCCCGCAGCGAGGAGGACGAGCGCGACGGTCAACGTCGTGATTCCCGACCGCGGATTCGAAAGCGGATTCGTGGCGGAGGCACGCAACGTCCTTCTCGCGGTGCGTCGCGCGAGCGAGCGAGGGTACGCGCGCGCGCGCGCACAAATTGTCACGCGCGATCGAGATCGGAGCCGACGCGATTGTCGCGTCGCGTCGCGACGCGACGCGACGCGTACGCGTACGCGCGGCGCGGCGCGGCGGCACGCAGGACGGCGCGTACTCACCCGTGTTGTCGTCCCCGCGCTCCGGCGGCTCCGGCCCTCGGCTCACAATCAGCGACGTGCACGCGTCATCGTTTCGCACCTCGCAGGACGATCGCGCCTCGCGCCTCCGTGTGCCCGCACGCGCGCGCGAGTGGCCCGGGGAGGCGGGCGGCGAGCGCGTGGACCGGGTTGCGGCTCCTCGCGAGGAAGGGCCCCGGCGAGACGCGAGGACGGCGACAACGACGACGACGGCTGCCGCGGTTCCACGTACGCCTCCTCGGCTCCCTCCTGCTCCCCAAGTTCAGTATCCACAACACCCAAACGCGGCGGCCATAGTGCGGCGCACGGTAGCGACGCGGCCCGGTCGTACTCGCGAACCTCACCAAGCAGCGCGAGTCTGCCTCCCCCTCTCTTACCCCACCGCGAATCAACGTCGTGACTCTGGAATGCCGCGCGACCCCTCGCGCACTCGCGCCGCGCGTCTTGTTATCTCGCTCCCGCGATCGGGCATAGACATAGAAGAGTAGACCGCGCGTTAAGGCCAATGTCCACGATGCTAGAACTTGAACCAAGTTCTAGCATCGTGGACATTGGGCTTTACCTACCTCTCCCATGCATAGACTACGTTTCCACCCGAGGGTCAAAGTCGGACTAGGGGAGCGATCAC